AAGCATAATTAGTGTCTTTTCATCTGCCACCTGCTAGCTACACCACCTGGTTCTCAAACTGTGAGCCGGACCCGGCTGGTGGGCATAGAGCCACTGCCAGAGGAAAAATATAGAGTGAAACTAAGCTGGATGAACGCTATTAATGTAGAGAAAGTAAACAAACAAGTTTGCAGATGGAGTCATGCGGACCTTTATTTCACTAAATGCTTTTTTCCATTAAGGATGGATAAAATGGTTTGGGTGTGGTGGGGTTGAACTTTTTCTTGTGTCCTGCAGGCAACAAAAGTTGCAGGTATTTTAACAAATTTCTATTTCTAAGTGAAATAGAAACACACTTACCTACACCGGTTGGATGGTTGTAAAGTCTTTCAAACTGTTATCGCTCTGGTCTACATGAAACTCTTCCACATAACCATCCTAGGTGGACAGTTTGTTTGGGATCACCCTTCTTTCTTCTTCATAATAACCAAAAAGTACAAATGTACTTTGTAGTTTGGGTGGAAATTAGCTGAGATTTTGCAGCTTTGTAATGTACAAACACTTCAAACACACACAAACAGTAGCTATAAAAAGAAGCTGCAGTTGTGCCGCTGGGTGGTATTCGTTCGGCCTGGATTTAGATGCTTCACAGTGATGAAAATATGCATCCTTGTTAAAGATATTGACCACAATCATGCTCCAATCTGCCCACTGAAACTGCTGACAAAAGTGCCTAATGGGAGAATGAGTTGACTGTCAAGGATGAAATAGTGCTGCTATTTCTATGTATTGAAATTGTAATTTATATAATTACTTTTATAAAGTCCTTACATATTTATGTATAGTCACTAGTGTGTTATTACAGTTTATTTACATGATATATACTTCTAAACCCACAGTGTCTATACTTTACATTCACTAAGTGTCCACTTTGTATTGGCTTGGATAAGAATCGCAGGTATATCTATATATAAATACTTGCTTAGACTTGATTTACTTTTTATGACAGTAAATATTCTTAAAAACACAACTTCCTAAAAGTCCAACCTTAGTTTGAGTGAGTAATGTGACGTAAAGCATACATATTTCTCATTGCTCCCAGAACACAGAAGTGCCACCTGTCCTTACTTTGATCTCTCTGCTCTTTGGTAAGAATTCCTGCAGTGTGTATGTTTTGCAGTTGTCTTGCTGCAGTTTCGAGGTTTGGAAGAGGCACAGATCAGCATCAGATTTATACGGATGGTGTTATTTGATATTTGTCATCTTCTGTAGTCCACATTGCCTTTGCTGTTGACTTTGCTTTTTGTTTTATTGAGCAAAGGACACTACAGAGTGCCCCCGCTGCTGTAGAGGTCCTTTCGCCACCGTGTGACCAGTCAGCGTGGGTGTGTTCTCTTCTTTTACTCATGATATAGAATTTGAGGTTAGGTTAAAGGTTGTTATTCGGTTTGCAAATGTTTTCAGGCTACATACATATCTGTCTTTGTTCCTCTGGTCCCAACAGCAGCACACCAAATTTGAGACCACAGTTGGCCAGAAAGCTGATCTGGTGGTCAGCCGTTTCCTCGAAGTGACATAGTGTTTCTCTGATTGTTAACCATCCCCTCAGCCTGCTGGCTGCCAACCAGCGGATTGTGGTTTTTTGGAAAGAGCATTGACCAAAACAGCAGCATGAGCTCATTGCTGTAATAAGCCTAACTAGAAGTGAGTTACACATATGTATTCAATTGTTGGCCCTTCAGTAAGATAAGACTTTATCGTTGTCTTTTGTCGAGGATTGTATCCTTGCACAGTGGTTTTGATTAAAGAAAAACAAATGCACATTGTTTAAACTTTATAAATTCTTAAAAATGGATGCTGATTTAGAATTAGAGATATGAATTAGAGACACAGCGGACAGGAAGTAAGACAGGCAAATCATGTCTGACGGTGCTTTGACTCACGTTGAGGTCATACATGTGACAGATGGAAAATCACTTTGTAAGGTTTACTCACATTTTTAATTAAAGGCAAAAGGATTGACATCCAGGGACTGCACTGGCCACTCGCTTATAGGCTCACTTATAGGAAGCTTTTCTTCCGTAGTTCAGATCTTTGTGAGCTTTGGTACATCGCCCCACAGGATACAGCGTTGTACAGAGTTGTTCACGATTCTCTTTTATCCGTTACTAATCTCTTTGATTCACAGTGACAAAGTTTAGCATTTCATCACATTCAAAGCATAAAAAAATTAAGAATTTGAAAATGTTAGAACTTTCCACCTACCGTCAGGCCGCATTATTCTTCTTATCTGTCATATATACACTTACATATTACATATGGCAAGAATTTTTAAATATTGAGGTCGGCATATGTGTAATTAATCCCACTGAGCAATAACCCAGGTCTCAGACTTGCTCTAAACACCGGGTTTCAGACGGTTTTGTTTTTTTATGTTTGGCTCTGTGTGATGTCAGAGAGAGTGGATATCCTCTTCTCTGACTTGCTCTTTAAATAATAGCCAATCAGAAGAAAGCTGGCTTAAAGGTAGGGAGAAGAAAACTTAAGCAATAAATGAACTGAATAGTAAAATATATTTTTAAAAAAAGATTATTTTGATCTCAGAATCAAAGCTTCTAGTGGAGTACTAGCTGGGCCTGGTTTTCCATTCTTTTTGTGAGTGAAGCTCCCAAATTAATATGTTTTTTATTTTGGTTAGATAAAGAAGGAGCTCAGCTCTGAATGCTGATTGGACCATTGTCTGCCTTTTTTCAGATTATTGTCTGTGATAGTTGTCTTTATTGTCTGCCATCATCTGCGCTTGTTTGATCTTACTCTTCTCTTTCACGCAGTCCCTTCTTTCCTCTCATCTCTCAATAGCTTTTTACTTATTATGTCTTTGTTTTCCTGTTTTCCTCTCATTCAGCCTGCGCTTCTTGTGTTAAAGCAGAGCTGACAAACACGCTGACACATGTCCCTCTTCCACTGTTTTTCCTTTTCTTTTTTCCGTAGCTTCCTAAGCCTGTGTTTTCCTAGATAACAATCTTGAGGATCTTTTCTTCTGTGCCTCTCCTCATTTGCTGTTTTCCTCCAGGCTCTGTGTCCGCTAAGATGGTGCGATAAGAGACACCTGTTGAACTGCTTCAGCGCTCAACTGTTTGGGTGCGCGTGATCAGAGAGCAGGGCCGGGTGTTTGGGTGAAGAATGAACTTTAAAGAGCCTGGAAGACAAAGCAGAGTGTGGAAGCTATCAGGCTGAATAGAGCAGAGAATCTGTTGGTCTTTTAGGTCTGCAGAGCTCTTTGTAAATGGAGTCTGCTGTGTTGTGGCTACTGGGAGAACCAGGATTCTGTTATCTAGGGATTACCTCAAATCAGTGAGGTGAAGATTTTGGATAGAAGATGCACTAAATGGGAACTATCAGGATCATCTTTCTGAAGAATGCATGTGTGGTTTCAGGAGTTTCTGTGTTGCAGTGGAGATCAGCACAGGCTCCCTCAGCCAAAAACAAGAGGGATATTGTTGCTGTAGTGCATACTACATTAGGCTCTGTGGATACGCTTAAAGATATTTCACTACAACGTAAATATAGTTTAAAATACCAAATGTATTAAACGTTTCAAGATGAAATTCTTCTATTAAAAGCAGTAAAAGGCACAGGAACCAAACTAGTATGTATGAAGTTTTTACAAAGCTGAGCAAACATACAGAGAAGAAGTTTTCATCATCATTCCACACACATTTGTGAACACCATCAGTGGCTTTATACTTGTTTTGAAAAGTCACTGGAAAGCATGATAAAAAGCACCCATTATACCCACTGTGGCATAAATATGGAGGCAGTCTCTCTGGAAGCTGCTCGCAGTGTTTATTCAAAATGTGACAAACGGTTGTGTAATGAGTGAAAGAGTGAAAGTCTGGCTCAAGAGCTTGTTTATTTGCGTACCTCCAAACACAGGCACTGCATGAACTTTGCATGAACAACTATTTCAGTTTTGCTAGCCCCACCCTACAATGTCTGTCCACACACACAGCTACACACACACACCCACTTTGTTATGCCCTAGTCACACTAAAGAAAACGGTGGTTGTGGACCACAGCACGACCCAAGTTATAATGACGGTGTGCAATCAGCTTCTGATCTGGATGCCTTTTGAACGATTGGTTTGAAGCCGAGGGCCAGGTCTGCGATCACTCGCAGGCAGCTGTTGTCTTCAGAGTGGCTTTGGTTTGTCAAGATAACACAACCTCAAAACATCACAACATCAAAATGTCAGAATAAAAAACATAAAAAAGGAACGACAAGTTCATGAACTGTGTCTAAGGTCCACTTCACTGTGACATCATATTATTTATTATTTTGCAAGCAAAACATTTGACCATTATGTAACCATAATTCAGGGATGGATAAGAGATTGTGACCATATTTCACATTTGGTTAAACCGAGTGACACTGATCTTTGGTCCTCACCCATTAATTGCTTTCAAGGTATTCACTACATATACTATGAGTGAACAGGCATGGATATAAGCCTGCCTGGTTGTCAGAGGTATAAAACCTGCAAGGTGATAATTTAAGTTTGATTATCTGCGTTTCCTGATCCAATGGATTACCTTATCGGGGTCAGAGCATCTTGTCAAATAGAGGCTATCTTGTTTATTATCTACAGGTTTACTTGGCTGGATTAGCATGGCATTTAGTGTGGGGCAATAAACCGATACATATTAACACCAACCAATTTGCATTACAGCCTTTGTGCTCTCTCTCAGGGCTCGTCTTTGTCTGCTTCAGTGCACCTTTAACACCAAGTATGTGCAATACTAATTAGCCCTGATAACAAATACAGCTACAGATATGGATCTCTTTAGTGAAGCTGCAATTTGATGATATGTGAGTCAGAGACAATAAAAAACACTTGGATTAAAATGTTTTGGGACTGAAAAGCAAATTGTGTGACTTTGAGTTGTCCTGATAGCATTCAGACACACTAAAGTACCAAATTTGAAGGCACACATATACTCATCAATGACTTCCTCCTCAGGTTGTCAGCGTCCCATTGGTCTGTCCAGAGGAAAGGCAAAGGTTTGTTACTATAGTGGCTGGTACTACTGCCAAAGCTGCCATCAGGACAACTCTTTCCTCATCCCAGCACGCCTGCTGCACAACTGGGACACCAGCAAGCACAAGGTATGAAAGCATACACACAGAAATATGAAAGAAAAAACAAATTTTTAATGCAGAATCATTAGAGGAGGGTCTTTGGGGCTTAAAAAGCCTTGTCATGTTTTAGCTTATAGTATACTGTAAGACTACTGTTAAAGATCTGCAGGTTTCCAGTAAGTACTGGAGAAAAATTGATCCTATCACATCTGTACGCTAAATATTAAGCTACTGCCAGAAAGCGTGGTCTTAGATTTGTGTTCAATATGGGATTATTTTTCAACTACCCAACCATACTTCTTTTACTGACTCCAGCCCCCCACATTATTAGCAATTAATAGAAAAAGCAGAAAATGGCTACTGTAGCTCTGGGCGGGGGGTAAATAAAATTAGCCACCCAGGTTTTATCTTGTTCTATCTTGTCAAGCATTAAAGTCTGAGCTCAGGATTATCCCTCATATGTCAGTGGTCTTTGATGCAGTCATTTTAATGTAAACTTTTCCAGGTGTCCAAACAGGCCAAGGAGTTCCTGGAGTTTGTGTATGAAGAGCCACTGCTGGACATCCAGCAGCTTAACCCCTGTCTGTACGAACACTGTGAGCCTCTGAGCACAGTCCTGCGTCTCCGTCAGCAGCTCCAGTCACTGCGGGCCTACCTGTTCAGCTGCCGAGCAACCGTTGCTGAGGACCTCAGACGAAGGTATGAACACTGTGGGACTGAGATGCATTTCTGTAGCCCAGCAGTTATTTACTTTATGTGAGCAGTAATGAGGAGGTACGCAAATATTTTACAAATTGAAATGTCTCGTGCTGATTGACCTGAAGAATTTTGCAAGAAAATTAAATTCATGTAATGTCTCTTAAATGCAAGTACAAGCCGATAGCCCGACCCAGCCTTAACTCTTCACCCCTTGAAAGCCGACTAAGAGAAAGCCTTGAAGCCTTTTTCTGAACTGAGTGGTTTCTGTCATTTTTAAGGCCAGCTTATAGAAAAAAATGACTGG